TTATATATATATATATATAACTTTAATAGAAAAATATAAGCAAATATTAGCCAATCAAATTCTATTATATATAAATAATTTTTAACCAATTAGATTCAAACAATGTCCCTAAAATTTGAGCCCTTTTGGTATATAACCAACCAACATATATAAGTATATATAAAACCCTAACCCTAACCCTGACCCTAAAATATAAGCAAATATAAAAAATCTATAATACATCTAACAACCAATCAAATTTTACTTAGCTGACTTATATAAGTCTTATATATGGGATTTTTTAACCAATAAAATTTGGCTATTTGAGCTCAAATTTGATTGGCTAATAATATATCTCATATATAATTCCAATATAAAAAAATTTATATATATATATATATAACTTTAATAGAAAAATATAAGCAAATATTAGCCAATCAAATTCTATTATATATAAATAATTTTTAACCAATTAGATTCAAGCAATGTCCCTAAAATTTGAGCCCTTTTGGTATATAAACTAACGAATTGTTTATTGTTTTGATTTCACATTACATCAGATCTTATGGGGTGTGTCACAACACATAGACGCTAAAATATAATATTCCTAAAAAATTTAAAAAATTCAAAATTCAAATTTTCAAATTTTTGAAATTTAAATTTTTAAATTTTTAAAATTTTAAATTTTTAAAATTTAAATTTTTAAAATTCAAAATTTAAAAAATTTTAAAAATTTGAAAAATTAAAAGATTTTAAATTTTAAAATATAGTAGTTTAATTACCAAATATATATAATAGTTACATGATATTCAAAATTTAGCTTTTCTATGAGCATATGCAGAGTGATACAAAATTTAAAGTTATATGATCTGCATTATCCATATTTTATATTTGGTAATTAAATTTCTATATTTAGAAGTTTAAATTTTTTTTTTTTTTTTTTTTTTAGTAAATTGCTTATATGCTATAATTTTATTAATTAAGAACTTAAGAACTTATTACATATTATACTGTATATTACAGGAATTAAGTTATACTATATTAGTCTATCTAATAATACTTACCCTAAGCAATTTAGTCATATTTTTGCTATATATTAGAATTTAAATAACAGCTATTACCCTATTAATCAACTTCCAGCTAGTGTATAACCTGTCTTTTTCCTATATATAGTTTTTTGTATTGTTATTAATATCTTGTTCCCCTATCTACTTCTTGCAGTAACTTTCTTTTTCTCTTAGTTTGGTTCATTCTAGTAGTTTTTTACTCTTGTTGCTCTCAAATTGGTGTACATGACCTTATATTTGATTTAGTACCACTCTTATTTGGATATATATTGTGCTGCTGTTATTGTGTTTGTATTTAAAGCCAACTTTGGGATGCTACTATAACGTGATCTGTATCTTAAGCCACAACCTTCCCAAACAGGCACAGCCAAATTTATTAGAATTTTTAGTTGTTACTTTGCTGTAGTGTTTCAAATCAAACCAAAAAATATAATTGATTTGTTTGCTAAATTTTTTTTGAGCAATCGATTAAAAATCGATTGTATCAACTAATCGATTAATCGAATTAATCGAATAGTCATTTAATTGATTAATCAAATTAGTCGATTAATTGATTAATTGATTAATTTAATTAAATCGATTAAATTTATTAATTCAATTAATTCGATTAAATCGATTCAATTGATTAAATCGATTAATTTGATTAATTTGATTAAATCGATTAAATTAATTAATTCAATTAAATCAATTAATTCAATTAATTTAATTAATCAGATTAATCAATTACATAGTAGATTAATATTTCACAAGTTCTAAAATGATGCTAATCATATATTATCAGTTAGGTATTTAATTTGATATCGATTAAGTATTCTCTTTTAAAATGTGTATCTTTTATTAGAAATTTTTACTACTCGCAATTTTTACAACATACATGTAATCAAATATAGAGGTTTTACCTTTAGAGTTGCTGCTTTAGTAATAAAAGTTGTACCTAACTGAAATTAAGCTTCTTGAAATTAAAAAAGAATACATACTATAAGTTAATTTACTTCATTAGCTCAGCCTCAAAATTCATATCTAATTATTATAGAATTAATTTCAGAAGTCCAATGAATGAATCTAATTTAATCAATTTACAGGTTTTTGTTACTCTAATAGCTAATAATAACTTTCAAATTTAAAGTGTATATAAGCAACTACATATGTAATAATTATACGTATTAAGATAAAATAGAGACAAGGTAAGAAAAGTAAAATATAATATGAATAAATTTAATTAAACCACATGTACTAACTAAATTTTGTTAATACATTAATATTATATATATATAATCCTAAAAAATATAATTATTTTAACACTCTAACCATTGAGAACTTACAGGTAAATAAAAAAAATGAAAAGCTAATAAAGTATATCTATTCAATTGGGGGAAAAATATCTACATAAACAAGATTTTATTTTAAAAATAACAATTGATGCAAGAGGTAGGGGTCTAATCAGTTTCGTTTGGGAGTTACATAGTTGCCAGCAACTGAGAATAAGCATTCTGAATAGACTGACAAAGCGGGAATTGCAAGGTATTTTTTTGCAAGTGTGCAAAGAATTGAGAATTCTAATCTTTGCTGCTTCTACCAAACTACTGGGTCATTTTTTTCTGTTGTTTTAATTTCAGAAAGTACAAGATATTTATCAATTTTGGTTTGCTCTACAAATTCATTATACTACTGCCAGACTAAAGAGAAAAAGCTCTTCATTGCTAATTTTTTTTTTTATAGCCTCTTCTTTAGGTAAGCTTGTATTAGTTTCTGCTTGACTTATAATTTTTAATTCATTGAACTGATTTCGTAACTCTTTAATTGTTCTTTGTTTAGTGTCTAGTAAAAGAACCATAAGCAGTATATAATTTTAAAGAAGATTTATATTATATTATATAATTTGTCAGACTTTTTTAAATATAATGTGCTGAGACTATATAAGTATTACCTGCAAATTTTATCAAATAAGTTTATTAGATAAAATTTGCAGGTTTTAGCTTTGTAACACTTATATTATTTCACTGAATCATGTATTTTTTTCACAAATATATCAAATATACTTACATTTGAACAGAAAGATAAATTCTTGAATCAAGGATCAAGTAAAAACACATATATTCTATAATCATGTAGCAGGGATCATCGACTTGACAGGTTAGATAAAATTTCTTCTTTTACCTTATTTATAATATCGAAATCACTATCTGTATTATTTAGTCGATAAACTAATTCTTTGATTATTAGAACTATTATACTCTATATAGTATAATTTGATCTGGAAAGAATTTCTGTGGCTTTATCGAATAGATATAAAAGTTTAACAAGAGCCTTTACAACTTTAAATTCTTCATTTGATAATAGCTTGTCATGAATATTAGTACTATTACGACAATAATCATTATTAGTTAAATTTTCAAGGTCATTAGCTAACCACTTAATTGGACATTCGAGCTCAGCAAGTCTTTCAAGAGCCATGTAGATGGAATTGACCATGTTGCCACATTTGTAATTACATTAACTACATTAGCTTTTAATATACCTACTCTGATTTGAGCTTCTTTTAATTGCTTTCTTTTTTTTTCTCTACTCAAAAGTGAAATCAAAGCTTTGCATTTTATAAGTAAATTATATGCAACTTCCAAACCTGCTTCAACACTTAACTGCAACATATACATAGCACAAAAAATATTAACAATTGGGTCTGATACTGAAAGTCTTGCTGATAATCTTGTAATAGCTAATTTGACATTAGAGCTATTATCTATGGTTATACTTAATATTTTACTTCCATTTAGACCAAATTCTTCAAGCATAAGTTTAATAGTATTAATGATATCATCAGCAGTTTTATATGCTCCCATTTTAATTACGCCTAGTGTAAGATTATAAATACGAAATTCATCTGAAATCCAGTGGCAGGTTACACCTAGATAAGAATCATGTGCCTGAGAAGTCCATATATCAAATGTGAGTAATACTGTATTCATTTGTATAAGCATACTTTTAATACTTTAAGCTGTATGATTTGTTCCATTTACAATTTCATTTTTAATTGTGTTTACACATGGCGGTTTGTATCGAGAGTCAAATGAATTTAAAAAAATACGAAAATTTTTATTTTCTATTAAAGATAAGGGAAGTGTATATGAAATAAAAAATATGATAATATCCCGTGTAAGCTTTTGTTGTCTTGATACTGAATAAGGTTTTGATAAAGTGGTTTC